CTAAACCCTAGCCTAAACCCTAAACCCTAGGCTAAACCCTAGCATAAACCCCAGCCTAAACCCCAAACCCTAGTCTAAGCCATAAACCCTAGCCTAAACCCTAGCCTAAACCCTAGCTTAAACCTTAAACCCTCGCCTAAAGCCTAGCCTAAACCCTAAACCCTGGCCTAAACCCTGGCCTAAACCCTAGCCCAAACCTTAAACCCTAGCCTAAACCCTAAACCCTAACCCTAGCCTATGCCCTAGCCTAAACTCTAGCGTAAACCCTAAACCCTAACCTATGCCCTAGCCTAAGCCCTAGCGTAAACCCTAAACCCTAGCCTAAACCCTGGCCTAGACGCTAAACCCTAGCCCAAACCCTAAACCCTAACCTAATCCTCGAGCTCTAAGCAAAACTCTAAACCCGAAACGGGGGCTCTAGCTTCGTCGTAAACCCTAAACCCTAGCCTAAACCCTAAACCCTAGCCAGAACTGCAGCAGGGGGTACGAAACCCTAAGCCCTAGCGCTGTCTGGGGGGCGTGGGGCCTTTAGGGGTGAGGGTTTAGGGTTTATGAGGCTTAGGGTTTAGGTTTGCTGCGCTGCTGCCGAGAGCGGCAGCAGCGGAGGAAAAGTTCGGCTGGAAGGCAGCGGAGTTGCCGCTGCTGCAGTGCAGAAGCAGCAGCAGCACAGAAGCAGCAGCGCAGCAACAACAGCAGCAAATGCAAAAGGGGCAAACGAAATACCATTAAAGATATTTCAACTTTGATTTCAGAGTAAAGACAAGCAATGTTGCTGCTGCTGCGAGCCTCGCATGCACGACGCTGTCGGCTGCGCTGCAGCAGCAGCAGCAGCAACAGCAGCAGCAGCAAATAGTAACTTAAGCAAACTGTAGTATTTGCATTTGTTTGCTTAAATTGACTTTGCTTAACGTGCCTCTGACCTGAAGGAGGAGGATAAGCTGCAGCAGCACCTAAGCTGCCGCTCCATCACCTCAGCAGCAGCAGCAGCAGCTGCTGCTGGTGCTGCTGCTGCACCTGGCTCGTTTCTGTGCTGCTGCTGTTGAAACTTACACTCATTCCGACTCATGACCGCCTCAGCAACAGAAGGCGCTGCTGCTCAGCAGCAGCAGCAGCAGCAGCAGCAGCACCAACAAGAGCAGGCTGCGGACTCGCTGCCAACGAAAGTGCAGCAAGAGCAGCAGCAGCAAAACACGACAGAAACAGATAAACCGGTAGCGGAAGCAGCAACAAATGAACCAGCAGCAGAATCAGCAGCAAATGCAGCAGGTGCTGCTGCTGCTCCAGCAACAGCACCAGTGGCAGCAGCAGCTGCTGACGAGCCCGCAGCTGCAGCACCAGCAGCAGCAGCAGCAGCAGCAAGTGGCTTTCTAGCAAAGAGTATCGCAGAGGCGATCCAGCTAGCAGAAGACCTTCTTTCAGACAGCAGCAGCGACAGCAGCAGGAGCAGCAGCAGCAGGAGCAGCAGCAGCAGCACCAGCAGCAGCCTAGAGGCAGAAATTGATGCTTTCGAAACTCAGGAGCTGCCTGCTGCTCTTGTGCGTTACTGGGCCATTCTCGAGAGCGACTGGCAAGACCCTGAGCAGCAGCTGCAGCAGCAGCTGCAGCAGCAGCTGCTGCTGCAGCAGGAGCAGCAGCAGGAGCAGCAGCTGCAGCAGGTCTTTGTAGCCAAATATGCGGGCCGCAGCCTGCTGCAGCAAATGACTCTGCGCTGCTTCAAACTCCTAAGGAGAGTTCTGCTGCACACTGAAGGCATTCGTTAGTCTCCTCTTGCTGCAGCTGCTGCTGCTGGTGCTGGTGCTGCTGCTGCTGTTGGTAGTATTGCTGATTGTGGCCCGCCGCCTTTTCTGCTGCTGGCGCTGCTGTTTCTGCTACTGTTGCTTCTGCCGCTTCACTGCTGCTGCTGCTGCTGCTGCTGCTGCCTCTGTAGATTGGTGACTGTGGAGAGCTCAGCACAGCCAGTTGCCGCCATTGCTGGTGCTGGCAGCAAACGTGTGAGTCTGTGCTGCTGTTGCTGCTACTTCTGTGTCTTCTGCTGCTGCAGCAGCAGCAGTCTCGCTGCATGCTGCTGGCTACGGGTCTCTGCTGCCGGCGCAGCGGCTGCTGCTGCTGCTGACACATTTGCTGTCGCTGCTCGGCAGCAGCAAAATAGTTACGGAGGAGACAACAGATGGGCAGCAGCGGCTGCGCCTTGCGCTGCTGCTGCTGCTCAAGGTGATCAGGTTCGATGCGCAGCAGCAGCAGCAACAGCAGCAGCAGCAGCAGCAGCAGCAAGAAACGCACCAGCCGCAGCAGCAGCGCCAAGAGGGTGCGGATGGGCATGCAGCGGATAACTGTGGTGTGGCTGCGCCAGAGGCAGCAGCAGCTGCTGCTGCTGCTCCAGCAGCAGCTGCAGCAGCAGCAGCAGGTTGCTGCAGCTGCCGCGAAGTCCCCCTGTATCTCTTCTACTCTCCGGTGTCTTTGCTGCTGCGTGCTGCTGGTTTGCTGCTGGACTTGGTGTGTCAGTACACCCGGTGGGGGGAAGGAGCGGCAGCAGCAGCAGCATGCGCGAATGTATGGCCGCTGCTGCGGGAAGCGAAACTACTACTGCAGCAGCAGCAGCAGCAGCATCTGCTGCAGCAGCAGGTCTGGGAGATGCTGCAGCACGTTTATGACTCCCAAGAGCTGCTGGCCAGCTGCGTGGGGGCTCAGGTAACTATGCAGCAGCGGCAGCATCCCAGAAGCAGCAGCAGCAGCAGCAGCAGTGCTGCGGCGTTTGAGCGGCTCTCGCCGTACCAATATGAGCAGCAGCGAGACGCAACAGCAGCAGCAGCTTCTGCTGGCGCGCTGCTGCAGCTGCTGCAGAGGCGCGAGGTGTACAGGCAGCGGCAGCAGGAGCTGTGGCAGCAGCAGCAATACTGGGACCCGCGCAGCAGAGCAGCAGCAGCAGCAGCAGCAGCCGAGGTGCGTGCCGTTGCTTCAGGAGAGAAGCATCCTCCAGCGCTCCTGTGCAGCCGCTGCAGCAGCAGCAGCAGCAGCAACAGCAGCAGCAGCAGCAGCGCTGCCTTGTCGCCCTTCCCGGCCCCGCTTTTTGGCAGCAGCAGCAGCAGCAGCAGCAGCAACAGCGTGGTGGCAGCCACGCTGTTTGCTGCTGCTCCCACGTGTATAGACACCCGAGAGCTGCTGCGGAACCTGGAGGGGTTGGCTGACTTTTGGGGGGCGCAGCAGCAGCAGCTAACAGCAGAATTTCATTTGCATGCAGCAGCAGCTCTCGTGAAGCAAGCAGCAAGCGACAGGCAGCAGAAGCTGGAGCTGCAGCAGCAAATGCAGCGGCAGCTGCAGCAGCAAGCGCAGCGAGAAAATCCCGGCGAGCAGACGCCAGCTGCTGCAGCAGAAGCAGATGCAGCAGCGGCAGCAGCAGCAGCAGCAGACACCGGCGACAGCGATGTTCTCTATTTGGGGCCCATTGCTGTGGCCTCACTAGTGCAGCACGGAGAGCAGCAGCTAGAAGAGTTTGCTGCTGCGCTGCAGCAGCAGCTTGCTGCTCTCTTTGGGCAGCGGCTCAAAGCCTCGCGGCAGCTGCAGCAGCAGGGGCTTCCTTTTGTTGCCGACTGGCTGCAGCAGCAGCTGCAGCAACTGAAGCAGCAGCAGCCACAGCAGCAGAACAAGCAGCAAGATGCAGACCAGCAGCAAGAGGGAGCGCAGCAGCAGGAAACGGAATCGCAGCAGCAGCAACAGCAACGACAGCAGCAACAACAGCAGCAAAACCAGAACAGACGCAATACTGACTTGGAGAAACTGCTCACTAAAGACGTGAGACCTAGCTGCTGCTGCTGCTGCTGCTGCTTGTCTTGCTGCAACAGAAAAACATGCTGCAGCCGCAGCACGTTTTTCTGTTGCATTTGCTGCTGCTGCTGCTGCTGCTGCTACGAATTTTCCCGCAGCAGCAGCAGCAGCAGCAGCAGCAAGAATTTCTGCTGCAGCTGCAGCAGCAGCTGCTGCTGTGGTTTGTTGTCTGCTGCAGATGGGCCCGCAGCTTTCTTTGTGTCTGAGCAACATTGAAGATGCATTTTTGCTGCTGGCAGTCCCAGAAGCAGCAGTTAAGGCCTTAATACTAAAGCAGCAGCAGCAGCAGCAGCAGCAGCAGCGCCAAGAGGAGGGAGGCGACGCTGTCCAGAACGGCGGTAGCAGCAACAGCAGCAGCAACAAGGGCGACAGCAGCAGCAGCAGCAGCAACAGCTGCAGCAGCAGCAGCAACAGCAACAGGGATATTTGCTGCTGGCCTGTCAATTTCGGGGAGCTGCTGCAGCGCCACGCGAGCCCTCAGCCTTCGCTGCTGCAGCTGGCAGCCCGTTGTGAGCGGTTGCTGCTGCTGCCAGAAGCAGCGGATGCAGCAGCAGCAGCAGCAGCAGCAGCGGCTGCTGCTGCTGCTGCACATGGCATCAAGGAAGAAGAGATGTACGACTCCGAGCTGTTAAGTTCTGCCGCTGCTCTTGCTGCTGCTGCTCTTGCTGCTACTGCTCTTGCTGCTGCTGCTCTTGCTGCTGCTGCTTTTGCTGCTGCTGCTCTTGCTGCGGCTCCTGCTGCCGTAGCTTCTTCCATCGTCTCATCATGCTACTTCTACTGCTGCTGCTGCTGCTACTGCTGCTGCTGCTGCAGGTCCTGGGTGCTGCTGACAGACCGCACGCTGCTGCTGCTGCCGGTCTCTCTGCCTCCGCTCCATGACGTTGTGAGCTAATTTGACACAGCAGCAAATGTGCTGCTGCTGCTGCTGCTGCTGCTGCTGCTGCTGCTATTTCTCCTGCTGCTGCCGTTGCTGCTTTAGCTGCTGCTGCTGTTAGTAGTTCTGCTGCTGCTAGTTGCCGGATCGCCACTGGTTGTTGTTGCCCCCGCGTGTGTCTCCCCCTGCTGCTACTTTTGCTGCTGCTGCTGCTGCTGCTGCTGCTGCTGGTCCTTTCAGGTATCTAGGAAGCTCGCACAGATGAACAGGCAGCTGATGATGACTAACGAAACGGCTCCCCTGCTGCCAGAACTGAAGGGCCTGCCGTGAGGGTTTAGGGTTTAGGGTTTAGGGTTTACGGTTTACAAGCACGCGACTTGGGGTTTAGGGTTTAGGGTCTAAGGGTTAGATTTGCCTTCTCACACGCAGCAGCAGCGGCTGCTGCAGCAACTTCTGGGCAGCAATCCTCTTTCGGATGCCACTGCATTTGCTGCTGCTGCTGCTCATGCTGCTGCTGCTGTCTCTGTTGCTGTTGCTGCTGCTGCTGCAGCGAGGGCGACCTGGAGCGCCTGCGGAGCCTCTCGCTGACTGTTGGCTTTGAAGGGCCCAAGTGTCTTTTTGCTGCAGCAGCATTTTACTCAAATGCTGCTCTTAAGGTGAGCTGCTGCTGCTGCTGTTGCTGCTGCTGCGATGGATCTGCTGTTCAGCAGCGGCACCTAGCCCCCGTGTCAGTTTGCCCTGTTGGTGTTGCTGCTGCCTCTGTTGCCGCTCCTGCTGTTGCTGCCGCTGTTGCTGCTGCTGCTCCTGCTGCACTTCTTTCGGCTGCAGCTATTTTTGGGGCTCGCTGAGTTGTCGCAATTGCTGCTGCTGCTGTTGCTGCTGCTGCTGCTACAAGTTGGCGCGCAGCAGCAGCAGCAGCAGCATTAGCAGCAGCAGCAAAGTCTGACGAATGTCCACACCCTTAGCAGCGTTCTTGCAACACCTATTCTCCCCTCGGCCCATGTTGTCCTGCTGCTGCTGT